TGTGTGGCCAGCTCAGCCCACCAGGGGGCGGGGCTGGCTGGCATGTGGTGCTGGGAGATTGAACCGCGGTCCCTGTGCTTTGCTAAGCTTGTTCTGAGTAGGTGTTTTAGACCACTGAGCCATCTCACCAGCCTATTATCAGGTTTTTCTCTAAGAGAGTTCCATATACTCTGCATGAGAAATATCCCATAAAGTTTTGAGTTTATCTTTACTAGGTTAGATGTTCATTGTTTCCAGGCCAGATTTCTTCTGTAAAATACTGTGAATTTGGGCCTCGCTCCTACTTCCTGCAGTGCCTCTTGCTTTGTTTGTGTTCACCTGAGGTGCTAGATGCAGCGGTACTGTATTTCACAGGTGTGGCCCTTCACAGCTTGTTTGCGCAACAGCTTCTAGCGGTTCAGCTGTTGTGGCCTGTGCGCTTGTTGACGCGCTCGCTTTGAATGTTCTTTATTGCTAGTGTCTGGGCATTTCCCCTTCCTAAGTCTGACTTAAGCAGTATTTCCTTTACTGCACTTTATCTCATATTCTCATGGATTTGAAGTAAAAGAATAGTCATCATCTTGTCAACTGTGTAGATTTAAAGTTTAAGTTCTCCTGACGTAGAAAAATTCAGAAAATGATGATGTGAGTACAACTTTAAGTCTTATATTTTGACCTAGAAACCATAAGATAGTATAAGTATTTCTTAAAACAGTAGACTGTTTTCGGAAAGATGGCTTAGCTCCTTTCTTCTCCTGAGGGTGTGGTTGTGTTACTTCTGAATCACAAATCTAAGGAAGACAGATTCCTCAGCATTTCTTTCACATGACTTCAGTAAAGCTGATATAGTCCATAAATGAGACATCTCAGTAAAAGAAAAAAGGTACATGGTTTTGAAGATGTTTAGGTTTTTTTTTTTTGGGGGGGGGTGCTGGGGATTGAACTCATGACCTTGAACTTGCCAGGCAAGCACTTATTCTACTGAGCTATCTCCCCAGCCCAGATGTTTAGTATTGATCTTTAAAAAATGAAAAGAAGACTTGAACTGAAAATAAGAACAGAGTTTAGTATGTTATTCTAATGTTAATTCATTAGAATATTGTCGGAATGTGTAAGATGCTTCTTATAAAGATTATATAGATAAACGCATTCCTGCTCTTTTGCTGTGGAAACAATACAAAATTGTATATGTACTGTAAATGAAAATTGAAATGGAGTATCAAAAATAAAAGTAGTTAGATCATGGTGGTTAGGATTATGAACAATTTTTTCCTTGAAAAGCAATTCCCCCTCAGGCTGGGGATGTAGCTTAGCAGTGTAGGGGTCCTGAGTTTGATTCCTAGCACCAAAAAGAAAACAAAAATCCCTTCAACGATACTGTCCTTCTTGCAGTCTTTGATAAGCCCAAGTGAGTGGTACTATTGTTCTTTTTTAGATTCCAAGTAGACTGGCAAATGGAAGTTAAAGTAACCCCCTTTATTTCTAATGAAGCTGATAATGAAATAAGTAGTTGCGTTGGATGCCCCCATTTGCTCACAAAACCCCATGTTAGCTCCCCAGTCACCAGTGCTGGCAAGGGCTGTGTCTGCAGCAAGACTAAAACTTCTGTTCTGCGCAGATAAATCAGCCCAAGAGGTTGAGAAGTGGGACGCTGTAGAATTCATCCAGGTTACTCTTCCTGATTTATTAGTCTGATAAGTTATGCCACTTGAAGTGAATAATAGGCCCCAGGAAGCCCAGTACTTACATTGTTGGGCTTCCTACCACAAAGAAGGAAGAACCATGGGAATTTGGAGATATGTTCTCATAGCTGGTTTGTTTTTGAGTAAGAGTGTTATGTGGGGCTGGCTAGATGGGTCAGTGTTCTAAAGCACCTACTTGGAACAAGCTTGGCAAAGCACAGGGATGGCGGTTCAATCCCCCAGCACCACATGCCAGCCAGCCCCGCCCCCTGGTGGGCTGAGCTGGCCACACACACACACACACACACACACAA